TTTTCTTTTTTTGAATACAAATATGTTTTAATATACATACAATAATATAATTTACAATAACAGTTATTACAAACAGCTACTACAAAAAATGATTTATATACAAACTTTTTACAAACTTACAAGCAATACAAAGTCTTTTTTCCAGTCTAGAACTTCCTTGATGTATTATCGAGGGTTCACGATGAGCGAGTTAATTTCGAGTTGACGTAGGTACAATTCACTTAATAGGGAGCTAGCTAGCTCTGTGGTCTTTACTGATCACACGCCGATTTTTTCTACTGATGACGTTTTCGTAAAAATACTAATGTCTGATAAAAATTCTCTGAAGTTAAATGGTTTGTAATGTTCGACATATATAAATGTTCGTGGTCAAATATCTTAAGTTTTCCGATTAATAAGCTTTATAACAATCAAAGCTATAGCCTCCGAAGTTTATAGCACACCAACTATAGCAAACCAATAATAGATACTGTTTTTTGGCGCGTCGCGTTTGTTATATTTATAGGCGTGTAGAGAGTTTCTCGAAATTTTAGTTTGAAGTAACAATACTGATATTAACTCTAGCGTTTACATACACACGTATATTATTGATTCTTAGACTCGAGAATCGTCTACAACTTTAGAGAATAGGTGGTAGTTTCAGAATACAGATTTAACAATATAAGTTATGTACATTTCTAAATATAAATTTAATTCAAACAAACATCAATATTAAAATAAATATATAATAATAAATCCGCCACACTGATCAGTGGCCAAAAGCTCTGTACGGCTATAACTGGACCGTAAACTGCCGCTCAGGTTCAAAATACCAATACCATACAATATCTAGAGACATGTTCAATCATGTAATGTTGCATGTTTCAAATACTGGCGTAAAGATAAGACTTAACATGTTTGGTGTCGTAAGGAAAAAGGAAAGTTCGACTCTTTAAATTATGTTGTTAATTTTTGTTTGTATAACGAGTAAAAAAAATAACAAAATTTCGTTTCCTTTGTTTTTACAGCTGAATGGTTTGGTATCCTGCGGCGTCTTGTTAATTGTTTTACTAGTTCTGGCTCCTCTTCTACAGACTTTACCAACAGTAAGTATAATGATAAATTAATTTTTAACAAAAGTAAGTTTCACAGTAACTTATTGCCCCCCCCCCCACTGATTCTCAGCGGTAAGTCTGGTGGTTAGTAACACTAGAAACCGGGTTTCGATGCCCGTAGTGGGCACAGCACAGATAGCTCATTGTGTAGCTTTGTGCTTAACAACAAATTAACCAACTTTGAAAATAAAATAATTACATAGAAACTGTAAAGCATATTTGTCTGTAGAGTTTGAGTGAAGATTAATTATGGCCATGACACGACTTATAATAAAAACCAGTTAAGGAATACAAAACTTAACGTGAATAGGTTACTTTGATTCGTTATTTTTCTACACTTATTGATAATGGTGTTTTCATCCGTAATTCCATAAACGCCTCGCTTCTGACCAACTTGGGAAATTTAAGTTAATCCTAATTGGAGCTAATAAATCAATATAAAATATTCATTGCATTCATTTTCTAAGTACTTATAACTTACAAAATATCGAAGAAACACAACTATTGTGTTTCTAATATGTATACAAAATCTAAGGGAGTCAATTGAAGTAAACAAATAAGAAACTGGCTATTACTTCGTGGTTAGTAAGCATGTTAGTTCAAGGATTTCTGAACTTATTTCGTGTATAGAATGTTATGGGGACATTAAGGATGTTTATATGATGATAAAAATGTCCTATCTCAGTTTTTAATATACTTCAAATTTGATTAAAATGTTTCTCGTTGTCTAGCCCATTAAATATCATTGTTCATTTAAGGTTACCATCACGTTTTTCTTTTCCAATTTGACCCCAAGTGGCTCAACAATAAGCTTAAGGACTCGTAACATTAACAATAGAAAATCTATCGTTGTTGTTGGCACTGGGTAGAGAGCTAACCGTTTAGATTATCGTTTAAAATAAACAAAAATCAAACGTATACCTTCCAATTTAATATACAATTATTGAAGATATAACTAAGAATAATCGCTTTATACTTACCGGTGTTTGTCTTAATGATTTGCGTGTTTTCATCAAAATTAATTGACCCTTTTATAGTGTAGACTATTACTGACAATGCCTTCTCTACTCGTGGACACTGTCACTGACAATGCCTTCTCTACTCGTGGACACTGTCACTGACAATGCCTTCTCTACTCGTGGACACTGTCACTGACAATGCCTTCTCTACTCGTGGACACTGTCACTGACAATGCCTTCTTTACTCGTGGACATTGTCACTGACAATACCTTCTCTACTCGTGGACACTGTCACTGACAATACCTTCTCTACTCGTGGACACTGTCACTGACAATGCCTTCTCTACTCGTGGACACTGTCACTGACAATACTTATGATATATAAAATCCATATTGGCGAACTTTGTGTATTATCCCTGATAACACTCTCTCCTCTCTAGTGTATTATCCCTGATAACACTCTCTCCTCTCTAGTGTATTATCACTGGTAATAAACTTGTTGTTGTTTTTCCACTAGTGTGTATTAGCAGCTATTACCATCATCGCTCTGAAAGACCTCTTGAAGCAGGTTACGGAGTTGAAACGTCTGGGACGTATCTCTAAAATCGATGCTGTAAGTTTGTTTGCCAAATGTTTATTCTTAATTATTTATAAGGTTTTAAAGAAAGTTTGTCAACTAGAAGTAGTCATGTATGTTCAATTGTTGAAGAGAATAGAAAGTTTAATTAATTTACTGTGTGTGTGTCTAAGCACCACTTTTATCTCCTATAGTAAAGTGTCTACTGCATAGTAAGAAAGTTTGGTTGAGTTAATGTACATTTTGAAGAAGATAACCTAATACTGTTACAAAAGCATTTTGCTTAGAATAAGTGTGATTAATTAACCAAATGGCAATAGATAACTCTCAGGAAGACACAGTTTGGAGAATCTACATTGTAACTTATTTAATACTAGCCGTTAATTCATTAAATTAACAATGTGCAACTATTATTAACACATTGATAATACGCTTGGATAATACAACCAACACTTGGATGTTTCAATTCTTCCCGACAAAAATGATTCTGCACGATCGTCGTTTCATTTTGAAAAGTTCCACAAACATCTTCCACCTGTTTTTGATCTGTCATTGAGGATCGATCATCAAAGCCTAAAAATGACCTTGTTCTAAACAACCCACTTAAGTTGAAAGAAGCGAATTAAAATATTTTATCTGAAACGTTTCATATTAAAGTGATAGGTTTATCATTGCTTTTTCCATACTGTACTGTAATTAGACAAACGTTTACTCACATTAATTGAAGCCGTGCAAATGGTCTTAAACTCCACGTTCTTTCCAACTTACTGACATCTGGTTGTGAGGTATGAAACTTCGCAGTGATTTAACAGGCAAAGTTTCACCTATATGGGAGATGAAATCCAAATTTGAGGTAGGAATGGCACTAACACATGCGCTTTATAACAATGTACCACAATGTCTAGAATCCACCCACCCACCTTTTTTTTTTTTTTTTTTTTTT